TGTAATATTTGTTCGTCAGCGCTATCTTTGATGTTTCGGTATATAACACAATCGTCTGCAAATAAACAATATGCAAAATGCTGCAAATAAATATGGGAACGTCTGTGCCATTCTGTAGCACAAATAATTCTTCTCTATAAAATACCGCTACTGAAAGTACTCGGTCGGCGCAATTCAGCTGTTTGCCGGTTGACCTCCTAGCGACGTCTTGTGGTTCGGACAGACGGTGTTCGCGCGCTTTTGGCTTTTATACTGCAGGTTGGGCTCTTGAAGTTTCTGTGCGGCCTTAAGCTTTGGGGAAATATAGCATTGCTGCCAGGACTGCTTCTAAACAATAGAAGGTAAGCGCGGTGGGGGGGGGGGTTAAGTAGTCATTACCAAAATTACAATTAAATTATAAATTTTCTCACAAACATTTCAACGCATGAAAATAATCACTTCAAACCTACTTAACGTTCAAAATATCAAATATATTATGATAATATGTAAAATATTAAATTCCATTTTTCATTGCTGTCATATGTATTTTTTTATTTAACTACTCAGCTTCGATCAATTCTTTGTGTTTAAAAAAATTGTTTAAATATCAGTACAACGTTGAGAAATATAAAAATAATATGTAAATGCGAATTAAGAAAAAATATGTTAGTAATTTTGTATACTTTTATTAAATCTCTTCGGAAACAATTGAGTGTGATTAATATTTTTTTCGGAGAATTGACTAGAATAATTAATCTTTGTCGCATTCTAACTTATTAAAAAGAGGCCAAACGCGATTCACCTATCCTTATTTTCTTAGGCTGTACATCTTTATATTACGTACCATTTATCATACAACTTTTGGATTTAAAAAATGTTATCTATTTTGTGGAGAAAGTGGCCTGCCCGCTCAGAAGGGGGGCTAGCAATCCTAAAACTTCACAGTCGTGCCCGCGGTGGTGACTCGGATGACGTCAGTTGGAATCTCGGAACCGAGATAATTTTTTGCTCGTTGGACTCGCTTTGGCAGGTTCATGTACTTTTATAATATTGAGGAGCCGTTAAAATAATATGAGAGAGTACTTTTTTGTAGCGTCACTAGTTGACAGGTGATATGCTGTGAAAATCACACGTTTCAATCTACTACATTTTACCTCAAAATAATTACAGACAGAGAACAAACAAGCAAGAGTATACCAGACAGAGACTGTTCCCACAGTTTCGGCGCTCATGGTGGCACCAAACGTAATGGTATACTGCAACTCTGCTCCTAGCAGGTATGAGCTGTTGAGTTTCATCCAATTGGGAGCTTGAACGTCATCATAGTGACGTCATTATTGTGACGATCAAGCTCCCGATTGGATGAAACCGTGAACACCTGAGACCTTCCAGAGGCAGAGTAACATAAATCGCAGTATAGAATACTTTGTTTCCCAGAGCGTACTGTTTTGAGTGCAAACAACATGGCTTCAAATTGCTTCAGAGATGGAGTCACTTTAGCCACTCTATGTAGTATACTCTAGTTCGTCGCGGAGAAAATTTAAATAATTATTTGTGAATAGTTGATAGAGAAGTATTGAATATTTGCTGTTGAAAAATAATTATACTAATAACTTTAGTCTCTCGCATGACTATTTATTTTCACAAGTTGGCGATACTTAATATAGTTTAGGTTGACTTCGGCACCCGTTCTTTTATTTTTTCTGTTTTCAATATTGGTTCACATTGTTTCAATTAGAAGTGAACTATCGTCAAATTGCTAATGGTTGTGTGTTATACATTTTGAGTTAGGGTGTTTTTTCTCGTGCCCCAAGAGAAACAGTGCTGACAATAGCAATCTGTAAGGGATGACTCCTTGGCAGAGAGCCAGTACCTCCCGTTGCGATTAATTTCGCAAGTTTTGTTTATAAATTACTCCTCAGAATGCCCTGTGCTGTAGGTTATATTTAATAATTTTCCATAATAGCCTGTACTAATTTAAACTTCTTTTATTAAAAAATTAGACGGTAAGGGCTAAATTGCTTTTTACCATCTTGAGGGACAGAGATTTTACTTTCATATGAAGTTTTTTTTTTTTGTTTTTGTTTTTTCAGTAAAGTATTTCGCCTTGGTCAGTCTCACGAACCTTCAGTGCCAACGACAATCCTCAAACTGTATCCGGCTATAGTGGAAGGGAAACACCTCATCCGCGGAATAAGGAAAAGTGAGCTTCGGAATTTGCAGAAAATAAATAAAAAGACTTAGCAGGTGTAGAACGAAAAGAGGAGAAAATGGACACAAGATAAAGAATTCATAGGTTTTACAACAATAATGTTTTTGAATGCCGTAATCTTTACTCTGATTATTCGAATACACGTTCGTTTCAGAAAGTATCTTCAAAGACACGAGTTTCATTTTAAATTCAACGGATTCGTCTCTGGATTCTCGATGACAGATTCTCCCAAATCTGAAAAGAAATATAACTAAGATTAAACACAGAACAGTACTACACAAAATCTTTGCAATTAAAGTCTATTGATATTTCTAGGAAACTGACTTTCATGAAAGTCTAGTCAGGCAGTCGAATTATTTTAGAGATGAACGCCTCACATCGTGACGAAGAGGAGATTTACATTTGAAATTATTACAAGTTAAAATCATATTACAATGTCATAAATATACGTTACTAAAAATCGTTGAGAGGAAAATGCGACAATAGTTTGCAAAAAGTCTTTTTGTTGTTTTGAAAGAAACCTTTAAAATGATTCAGCGAGAATAAGATTGCCGTTCTTGATGTTATTTTGAAATTGGTTTGAAGGGCCTTTTTTTAAAAAACTTTAGGCAGATATTCAATCATTATAATAAACTGTTATTTCAAATCAATCTTTACATCTTAAAAGATTGTTTGATTTTAAATAAAAGTTTATTATATGATTCAATGCCTTCCTAAAAGAAAAGGATCTTCAAACCAATTGTAAAATAAAGTATATTTTTCCTATATCAGCAGCTGATTACACTTGATTGTTCTTTGAAACGTTCTTTTCGCAAGATCTGCTAAAAGAGAGAATGGTCAGGCCTGAGCCGAATCAAGAAATGAAGAGATGCTTACCTGAGCGTGTTGAACTGCCTCCGGCAGTCGCGTGCAACTCATTGTCACCACATCTTGGCCTTGGCCATTCTTCTAGGCTCACACCAGCCTGCCCCTCGGGGGCTGAGCGATTTGGTGGAACCCCCAAGCGGACGGAGGCTCGCCGCGGTTTTCGTCCAAAGCGCCCGCGGGGACGTACAGCTGCTGGTATAGAAACGGAGGGCGGCGCGGCTCCATTTCGTCCGCCTGCTCGCTGTCTGGCGCGCCCGGATCGTCATCGGCAGGCCCCTGCGCGTCCCAGGCGTCTTCTTCCTCGTCTTGGAGGGGAGGGGGCCTTGGGAGAGAGACGCAATTTGGTTTGGGAGGACGAACCGGTCGCGCTGGGGCAGGAGGGCGCGATGGGAAGGCGGGTGGGGCTGTGGGAAGAACGGGCTGTGGGGGCTGTATGGGAGGAACGGATGGGGTATCCTGCCACTCCTGGTCCTCTTGTGGTGGATCTGAGTAGCGTGGCCGTGGCCTTGTGTTAAGGGGCAGTGGGAACGGGTAGGGAGGCCCTTTGATATAAGAGGGGGCGACTATCCATCGGTCCACGTAAGAATTGTCTCCTGGAGGAAACATACCCTTGTTGATCTTGTTCCCGAACCTCTTGTCGCCTCTGTTTTGGAACGGTTCAGAATTCCACTGCTCGTTTTCGGGAGAGGGAGAGTCCTCGAAGTGGTGATCCTGGCGGTTTGGATTGTACCGCACACCGCTGGGAGGCCGTCTAGCAGCGCACACGCCCACCCAGGCAATCGCCACAACGAACAACAGTTTCATCGCCTCTGGCTTTGAGCGCCCCTGGACGAGCACGGCGCCAAGCGAGGGGCCTTTATACCGCACGCGCCACGGCCGCTCGTGACGTCACGCACAGGCCTGCAAAATGGCGGCGAGCGCTCGACACCACTGGCACTGCTGTTTACGACTGATGAACTGTAGATTAGCGCGCAATTAAAAGCAATGTGCCGTTTATTGGAGTCGTTTGTTGAATGATGATCATTGATCCGCGAATGATTTTTCTACGTTACTTTATTTTTACGCTTTAAGAACATTAATTTTAATTGCAAAATCAAACATTTCAAATGAACACGTCCAACGCACAATTTACAAGCCTTTCTCCCCTATCATGTGAATTTGCCATTCAATAAATTATAAATTATAGCGATGTCTTCCAGAAAAAACAGAATTGCAAGAGAAAGTTTGGATATTTAGAACAATAAATTATTGACATAAGTTATTTTGCTCCCTAATTCTTCACATACAGAATTTTCTGTTATCTTTTATGACGATAAAAAATATAAAATTGTAATGAATATAATTTAATAATTTTGTTATTTATTATACGCATAATACAATTTCGTTCTGCAAGTAATGATTCCACTAACATGTAACTGCATGTCAACTACTGGTGCTGCAGCAGCAAATCTTTTCTTGCAATATTTGTAACGTTTATATAATATTAGGTTACAATTTCTATTTTATGTGCTCTTCAGCAGTCATTTAAATAACTGCAAACAATTATACGATACGGAACGACCATTTAGAGACTGATCGTTTGTAGTTCGCCGTCGTTGTCCTCTTGTGCATCGAAACATTTGATTGCAGAACGGATCCTTACAGAGTTTAGCCCCCTCTTTCTTTCCAATTCAATTTTACATTGAATTGAATTAATGCCTTATTTTACGTGGCGAGACTCCGGCCATCAGGTCCGCTCTTCCGTCTGACCACGCAAATTTCGCTTACCGCTCCTTTCACCAACTAGCAGAGAGAAGGATTTCTTGGAGCGAGATACAGGCGATAGATTTTTTAATTTATCAGAGCGTCGTAGGCATTTGAGGATCTTTACATGCAGATAAATCTATTAACATGGAGACAGCCGGCTTTACTTCCCCTCCGAAGGAAGGCGTACGAAGGATTTTTTTGCCCTTAAAAATCCACGGGTTTGAACTCGGAAACCTGGGTATACCAGTCCGATACGCTAACAGTTACACCATCGCCGCGCGCAAAACTACATTAGACTCTTTCTGTCGCAAGCTGTGTTGCCACTTCTTGAAGAAGCTCGGGGTTATTCAGCTCGTCCATCTTGCTTCACGCGCAAATATTTAACATAGTTTACCCAACGATAGCTTCAGTTGTATTGATCTTAGACGAGTGATATTTTTACCAGTTATCCCAAAACTCTTATGAATACGTTTGTTATTTAATTATTGTGTTTAATTATTTAATTAAGAAGAAAGTAATTATAAATGACAGCCACGTGTTTACTACTACATTTTCACGTCCATAAATTTTCACCATGCGAGAATTTGTGTTATTGAAGAAAAGCACATTTAGCCGATGAAATGTGTTGGGAAGACTAGATTTTGGTATGTGACCAACCGCATCTCTGTTTGAATCATGGTTCGTGAGTTAGACGGCAATAAAATCAATATTTAGTGCTCTACAAATGAATTAGAAATTTTAGAGTTAACAATATTAATGAGGAAGCCATTCTACTAGTAATTCTATCATAAAATGTGTTTTCAAACGCAAGAACGTAGCGAATGTTAGAAAAAAGAATATTAGGGATTGTCCGCACAATTCCTCGCTGTATCTGATCCCATCCATGTCATTTCACATTTGTGAATGGACATTTTCCCTTTACTTTACATAAAAAAGAAGTGTGTTAATAAATTGGTCGTGTAAAATGTCTGGAGACTGAGAATTAGTATCACTGACCAAGATATCGAGGTCATCATTCGGGCCAAATACAATTCAAGTCTCGTTAGTGTTTCATAGATAAACTGTCTGTTTCACCCCGAACTGGACTTAATTTGCTAATGATATTTCAGTTTTAATTCTCATTTAACTGTTTGTTGTTTTACAGATAATGATTGAATACATCTTATTTGTAAAAAGTCTTTAATATTTAATTTTAAGGTATCTATTCAAATGTTTTGAAGTGATTTTCGTTCAAGTGATATGCTAATTTTCTTCAGGCTTGTAGGTGGTACGTAAGATCTGAAAAAAATGTTGAGACTCCCTGCCAAAATCCCGTCTTGCTTATTAATACAAAATTAGGAAAAATAACTTTGTTCTCCATTGCCATCACACTCAGGCTGTCGAAACCCTGAGATGTCCGTGGGAAGACAGCTGTCCTTTCGCCGGACCTTTGATGTTGGAAGCAAATGCACCAAACCTCAACACTCCGCAAGCTGGTAGAACACCATGAAAAACCCACATTCTATTCAACTTTTGTAGTGTTATGAAGTATTAGAAATGGTGTTTTAGAGATATTTCGAGACCTCCACACTTTCGTCAGCGAGCAAAGTTGCATCGTTAGCGCCAGAAACCTCCATCAGCCGGTGTCAGATTTCCAGCGCGTTCGTTATTTTACGACGGATATGACGCAAAGGTCTTATCCGTTGGTCTCTTTTCAATGCTACGTGCACAGTCATACGCGTTCTTAATATTTCTACAATGTCGGTCATACGGATATCGTAAACCAATACTATTTTTAAGAAAACTCAAAAATATTAGTAAATGTACACACCGTGGTCTTGTTATACATTGCACACTTTATCATTTGACCCCATTATTGTACAAGAGAGAAATGTATTTATTCATTTATTTATCCCATATCAAGATAACATTTTCAGGGACTCACATCTTTGCAATAATTTTATTTGGATTATTCATGCATAACTCGTCTTTCCGAGCCTGCCATGTAAACGCCCATTTTTAACACTCTGCTTGATGTCCTCCAAGGCAAATGAGACTGACGACAGATAGGCAGATAGCTTCGACCGGCAGCAAGTCCTGAAAGGCCTGATTGTCACAATACCACAACTTGCAAATGCTGCGAACCACAAAATTAATTATATTTATGGATTTTGAAAGGCGTTGATCAATATTGGAACAATTGGTAGAATTTCATGTCAATCCGAGTATCCAGAACGGCGGGTGGTTTTTGTAAGCGTTACTGACAAGTGGCAACGTTGTTCTCCATAAGCACTGCGCAGCAATCAAATGCTTGGTCGCACTATGGTTCAGAGATTTCTGGTGGGGCGGTGTAAAATATACACGTTCGCTCTTTTAGTTCGCCGGTCATCGTTTGTTTTTTAACATTTTAATTTTTTTTTGTTCTATGGTACCAGTTTTATCTAAGTAGAAACTGTAATTTTCCCATTATCATTGGAAACCTAGTGTCATGAACTTGTTTCTGATACTGACACTGTCTGATATTTGATTTATTAAAATTAACTTAAACAAAAAATTTCTGAAGCATTATAAATCAATAATGGACGCTATGTACGGTATAGGTGTTTTTTATATAAAATATTAAATATGAAATAATTATATTTTCTGTTATTGAAAACAAATCAAAAAAGGTATTCTTACATAAAATCAATTATTTTCACCTAGTAAATTGTCGTAAACATTCGTATTTACGTAAACAAACATATTTACTACTTCCACTGGTCAGTGAAGCTTGGGGTCCAAAAAGACCCAGGTTTAGTTCTTGATAGAACTAGTGGGGCCAAAACAGCTTATACTTTCTTGCCCCCTAGTAACGGTAATGTAATAGTATTATATCGCATTTCTGTCTAAACCAACACATCTCAGTCAATGAGCTTTGACAAAAAAAAACGCGCATGCAGTGATGGGCTCTGCCAACAATTAGCACGTATTTTCTTAATAATTCTTTCTAAAGGCACCATTTTTGCCGTACATAGAACTTTTTCAGTTTCCATTGTTGTGGTTTTATGAAAGTCCTTCTAACACTATCTTCATGGAACATTTTTTCTTGTTTTGAATACATACATTACATACATTTCAACATTTCATCTTTGCTGCCGAATTCATACGTTAGATTTTAAAAAAAATAGTAAACGCACGAAAACTGTTATAAACATTATTTTAATTTCTATTACTCACGCAACTTTTTTTGAACGAAGACCTAGCTTCCCCCGCTGACACAATAAACAGATGAAGGCAAAAGCTCGCAGCGAGCACTGATGACAACATTCCAAACACATCTTCACTAGCGCGAAGTAGAAACAATTTTCTTTTGAAGACGAGAACTTCTATCGGTTATTTTCTCCAAAAATCTAAAGATATGACCGAAGAAGGTAGGGATCTATCACAGAAGATACCTCGAACACCTGATAAAGTTAGAGCGCAAATTATTGAGAAAGTTGTGAAGGCATGACAGATTCTCCAGAGATTGGCGTTGCTTCATAAACTCTAGTGGCCGATTTCGTAACTAATACCCCCACTCTACCGGCATTTCTTCAATCAATCGTTCAAGAAACGTTGCGCGAATAATAGCACATCATACAGAAAAGCAGGGACAATTTCCAAAATAAACGTAACATTCAAAATAAATGCCATCCAATACATCCCATTATGAATGCATTGGAAACAACGAATTCATGACCTTATACGAATGTTTTATTTTCTCATCGCTTCAGATAAACACTTTTTAAATCTAATGTTAATGTTAATCCCTTAACTATTCGTAAACGCCTAGTATCTGACAAATAATATATTGCTCCTGCAGCGTGACGTTTTTTAATTACAATAATAGATAAAATACTCGAAAAAAAATCAGACATAAATAACATAACGAATATCATTAGCTCCAAATCATTCGTAATTTCTAATTTGAACATTAACTCCAGATATATTGTTCTCACGCAACAGAAACACTAATTTTTTGAAGTGCGGTACACGGATCCCATATTAGGCGAAATTACTACAAGTGGGTCAATTGTGTGGTGACTATGGAATCCAAATTT